GGGTGTTAGGTTTACAGTCTGCCCTCTCGGTCCACGCCGATGATGGACAGTGACGCATCTCTCTTTCAGGCCGGTTTTGTTCGCCATTTGAAAGCAAGGGACAAAAGGACGGGTTGGGGTGGTTCGGCATCCTGTTCTTTCTTCGGTCATAATGGCATGAGGTGTCTCTTTTCTTTCAGAATTAATTGGGAGGACATGCTGTTTAATTGCTTCGCGATCAAACAGACCTCTGAACTAAAAATGAAAAGGTCTGGAGAGAGAACTTCTACTTTAAAACCATTTATTATAGTGTGTACTGAGTGCAGTCTTACAGTAACAACACCATCATGATGAGGCCCTTTGAGGTTCTCTTTCTGTGTTGCAGTGAGAATCTTTTTGGAAGTGGGTGGTGCACAACACTTAATTAGTCCTATTTTAAATAGAGGTGGTTGTTTGACCATGTTTCACTGGTGTCAGCTGGTGGCAATGTAGCATCAAAATTGCAGGACTGTTCTACTTTATCAAGGCTATTTCCATATCATTACAGCTCTTTACACAAAGCAGAACACACAAGGAAGTGTGCTGCGTTTCATCCTCAAAGAAGTCTTTGATCCAATGCTCTGAACGAACATTACTCTGCATAATTATGAGTGTGAACACAACAAATGTGTCCTTTAAAGAGACTGACAGACTAAAAAGGCTGTTTTCTCGCCCTCTTCTCGGCAAGAGAGGTGCAGGTGTAGAAAAGGGATGGATGGGAGCCACGTTGCTGAACAAGTGAAAGCAGAGGTACAGTGTGTACAGCATTAGGAGAATGAGGAAGTGTTGCGGTGAAATGCCAAGTTTAGCAGACCTACATGTAGTGGCTGAGTACAGAAATAGCCTAATTAACAAGCCTTAGAGAGCTACAGCTTAAAAAGGCCACCAGACCTTAAAGTACCGGGGGCACCCTGAGCTGGATTAAGTTGTACACTGTGGGAGGATTCCAGCAGAAGAAGCTACAGTCAATGATTCCCAACTCCGCACCCAACAGTGTAATGTCCGCTGATGAAACATAACCACCGAAATGCCATCACAGGCAAAAGCACTTTCCAGCCGGAAGCGCTTCACATAAGTGTTGAGGTTGAGATTACATCCCCGGTGAAAACATCAGAAATAATCTGAGTTCCTGAAAGTCGTTTTGCTTTACTAGAACACCCTGAATTGATACCTTCCTCATCAGCCAATGAAGTCATTAGATTAGGATTAAATCCCTCACTGATTTACACACACTGGGAGGGGCCGGGTTGGAGGTGATACAAATAGCATTTGGCCCTCGGCTTTACCCAGATTAAAATGCTCCAATGTCATTAGAACAGAGCCATATGCGCCCTGTCATTTCATGAATCTTTCAAATAGTTGCAGGGTTTGGACGGACTATATGGCACAGCTACAGAGTTAATTAAATAGAGGGTAGGTTTGGATCTTCCTTCAGGGGAGGAAAAGCCTGCAAATGAATGACATCATGTGGAAGGCACATTTGATAAAGCTCCAGGCTCACATACCACACACAACTTCAGTGAGCCACTTTCCAAGAAAAAGTCCCCTCTGCAGCAGAATTCATGATATAGCTGGAAGAAGCCCTGCTCAGCAGAGAGGAGCTGATGATGTGCACTTTGCAACAGAGTGGAACCTGTTTCTGCTGCTGCTGCTGCTGCTGTAAATCTGCCTAATTCACATGCAGAATAAGACCATATGCCTCCACCCTTTACGCTGAGCGCAATGCGCAGGGAAAGCATTGCCATAAATTAATAAATAAAGAAACTAGGCAGGAGAGGAAAAAAAAATATGCCGGCTTCCAGAGGAGCGGTGCCGCAGTCAGATTTCAGCACCACAGTGTGGCGGACAGCGACAGCCGCCTCATTACCTGAATCAGCCAACTTCACTGAAGCAAACAATTCTCACATTCGGGTCGTTCCTGAGGGTCTCTTCCTCTAAAACCCCATACTGGACCCTCAGGAGAGCTTGGAGACACTATGACAGAGACCTGTTACAGAGCCCAGGGACCGTGCTTGCTGCATTGCTGTGCTGGACAGGACTTACCCCAGCTGCTCGCCGTTCTGCCCAGAAACTCCCTCGTCCTCGGGTTCCATATAAACTCCTTCCATTCGCCTTTTTCTCCATCCTTTGCCATTTTCTCATAAAAGTTCGCACTCCAAAGCTCTGAAGCAATAGGCGCCCGGTTGGAGCAAATACCAAGACAGCAGAGAGAGAGAGGGAGAGAGAGATGGAGACTTGAACTTAAAAGCGCGCACAAATGAATAGAAATCAAAGAAAAAAGCGCTACAGTAGCCTATCTAATAAGAAGAACTGATAGGCTACCAGAGGAGGTAGCGGTCCGACACTCGCAACAGACCTAGTAACTGCCCTCCCCCCCAGCTCTTATCTGCATGCCGCAGAGTTTTGATGAGTGGTGCAGAAATGTAGTGATACTGCGGTAAAGCACTCCCTCCGCCTCTCTATACAAGCTACCCCCCCTCTCTTCCCCCCTCTAACACACACATATACACGCCTTCAACCCCCCCTCCTCCCCTCTCCAAACTCATCCTCCATCCCCAGCAGAGCAGCTCCCGCCTTCTACTCCCTCCTCAACCAATCACCTGGCCCGCATCCTCGCTCCTCGCTGTGCCGGGCGCATGAAAGACTACCAACACAGCGAGTGGTGTGGCGGCTCAGGGCATCCCTTTATTGGCCCCGGTAGGCCCAGGAACGTCATGTATTCAAAGAAAAATCCACAAAATATCCATCCAATGTTCCCTCAGTGACCCTAAAGTGTGTGCGTTAGTCAATTTATGTCGTTTTCTGGTGCGTAATTTGTGCGTAATCAGCGTTCCATTTATGGTACAATTAGATTATGGCACAAAAGGTTTTGTAGTCACAATAAATGAGAAACTGATGAGTTTAGAGGGTTGTATACCTTCCGAAGGTGTTGGATTTCTCTAAAAATTCATATCTGGCAAATTGAGAGCGAAACTGTTTGCACATGTGCTTCATCCATGTGACATTTTAGCTCTGGAAGCGCACAAAAATGTTAAAACGCGCTTGCTTGGGAACCCAACCGAGGCAGCTATTTTAAATTCAAACTGTTCAGGCTGTTTGATCACCTAACCTGTCTTGATTGTGACTCTGTTACCACTTGCACAGAGCCCCAACAGAAAGAAATGCAGGTGGCGCCCTCACTTGGACACATAGAGAGCTGCACCACCTGCTGCAGTGGGAACACGGTGTCCACTTCCCCTCCATCTCCACCCAGCAACAACATGTGGCATGAACACATGGAACAATTCTGTTTGTTGTGTAAAGTTCATTATATAAAATTTATTTTCAATGACAATATCAATGCAAATATAGCACTACAGTGATTTTCCAAGGTACACCGTATCTTACCATATCAATATAGTATGGCACTCATATAATGGCCACTGTTTTAGAAGACACACAAAAACCAACAGCTTCTGTAAACTATTTTGGAAATGATACCTAGGGTTTCCATATCAGTCTGTGAAAAGGACTCGTAGTAAGGTGATTACTTGGTATCTGAAATTAAACTGGGCACAAGAGTTTAGTATCATTGGAACATTTTCAGTGTAAGGAATCTCTGCATGCATTGCACTTGCCCATTTCCTTCAACCTGACCTGTGTTTGTTTGAAAATGGACTCGGAAAAAACTTTGACCCTCAAACACGAGCAGGTGGAGCTAAAAACAAAAACAAAAAAAGGCCAAGCAGTGACTCTCAAACATTTAAATAGGTCTTCTTTTCACTGGGTGTACTGTACTGTACAGTTTGGTGCTAACTATCGTAAAAACAACAACAACCAAGAGGACATTCAAGCGCCTTAATACTATTACAGAAGGGCTCACTCTTTAAGGTACAAACTTCAGTTCACGTGGCTTTCGGAAATAAAATTTTTAAAAAAACAAAAAAAAAAAAACCAAATATGTAACAATAACCACTATATTAAGAATGTTTGTCATGGTAACACCATGTAGTTGAATGAACAACACCAGTAGTTCAAGATAGCAGCAAAGTATTTAAAAATGTCAAGACAACGAGCTGTTGAAATCTGTACACAAATAAAAATGAATGTAGAAAAAGGGCATAAATAAATTAATAACACAGCTTAAAGGGAGTCTTGCATAAATTTAAATAAACAACTGTTGGACTGTGCCTTTCTTTAGAGGGCTTACTGTTTATTAGTAGAACTATAAGTAATGCATGGACTGGCTGCAGCAGATAAAGTACTTAATTCTTTTAGAAAAAACAAGTGAACAAAGTTATGTTTATACAGTATATGCTACATAATATGTATTGATTACAAGTATGAAAATGGAAATAATTGCTACATTTTCAATACAGTTGTACATATCTATTTACAGTACATTAGGGTTTAAGTACTCCTAAGCGTATACGATGTTTTGTGCAGATTGTTCCAGCATTCTGTTTGAGGTGATCAATACTCACAGTCTTATCAGTTGCACCATATTGCACAGTCTGTGTTGATGGGTGTCAGTGCTTGTTTTTCTGTGTGGTGGAACAATCACTAATGTGCAACTGTGGATAAGCATGAGTGATGAAGTTTTTGTACCATTGATCTGTATCTATATTTGGCTGGACTGCACAGTATGTGCCATATCTGCCATCACACCACCTTTTTCTAATGATACCCCCCTCCCCCCCACCGAGCAACATGTTCGTCTTTTTATACAACCACACATTATCATAGTGAAGATCTGCTGTATGTAAAAGTCTGACACGATCATCTCTACACATATTTTTTGTACAATACTGTATGTCTATCATGACATGCAGAGAATGACACAGTAAATATGACTTATTCAAGTCTTAGATATGTATGTTAGGCTAGTTGACACAAGTTTTAATTATGTTGCTCCAGCTTCGGGAGCATATTGCTATAAAATTGCAGAAACGTTGAGAAAGTAAATAGATTTACATTACAAATATGCAAACAGATACAGTAGGTAGCTTTTACTCCTCAGTGATGATTATTTGCATCCACAATGACAATCTATTGATACCAAGACATCTCATATACATTCACGATTTCAAGAAACACTTCAATAACTTATCTATGAGTCTTGCCTTTTCTCATCCACAGAGTAGTTTCTATGTGTTGGACAACTGTGTGTTGGAGAAAATACACGATTCCTTTATTTCTCAAGTAGTCAGGAAGAAATTTGGCAACACCAATCTCAAAAAACAACCCACCCATTATTAATCAGTGGGCGTCTTCATTTTGTAGCAATAACACTGGTGTTTTGTGGCAAAAATCATTGGCAATTGGAACACGTCAGTGTAGTACATAGTACAGAGGAGGTACAAATCAGCTGGGTAAGAAATTAATTTAGTCTGATTGTAATACTTCTTTTCTTTCACCTTTTTTTGTGTAACCCCAAATGAGTTGAGAGTCCCCAGTAACCTTCATTACTGTTGTCAGGTCAGTTTTTAACACAATAAGAGTAATGGAAAGTGTTTCTTCTTAGCCCCCAGTCTCTTGTTTCTTTGTGGTAAAACCACAACCATTTAAAGAACTTTCCAGGAACTATATCCATTTTTACTCTTATTATTGATTCACCTATCTTCAACTCATCTATGTGTTTTGTCTCTCTTCACGTGCTGTACTCACTGGCCTGTCTCTCCACCTCAGATAGCCGTGTCCCACACGACGGCCTGCGGCCTCTGGCAAGGTGGCGTGCCAGTCTTACGTGGCTCAGGTGTCCGTCTCCAGCTAGGGAGGATGGGCATGCTGTCCTGCTTGCACAGGCTTTTGTCTGGGCGCCTGTGGGCCTTGATCTCTTTGCACAGGCAGCGTTTACGCTCAATGACTTCCAGCAGCTTGCCGTCTCTCTGGGTCTGCGTTGTGGACGGGGTGGTGCCCCCACTGACAGGAGGCTGTCCCTGTGCCAGCTGGGCGAGCTGCTGGAACTGCAACTGCAGGTGGTGCTGTTGCTGAAGCTGCTGGAGCTGCTGCTTTAACTGCAGCTGCTGCTGGTGGAGCTGAAGCTGCTGCTGCTGCCGAGACACACTGGGACCACTGGGACTGCAGGGAGCTTGAGGCTGGCCCAGACCATGCAGCTGAACACACAGAAAAAGGTCAAGTCAGTGAATTTATGTGGTGTTCAATGATATAATATTAATGGCTTTCTAAACCTGCACGATCACTGCAGTGCAGTTAGCAGTAGCTGCCAGTCCTTGCACATGTTGAATAAAACTGCAGTTCTCATGGACAGCCACCAGGATGCAGCGCTGCTGCATCTATTACGGTTTGAGGGAGGGTCAACCAGACGCATGCAGACAGTCTCTGCAGCACACTCAAACTGCGTCAGCACTTGCTGTGGAGCCAGAAACTGGGCAAAATGTGCTGCTAGAAGACTGCAGTTCACCTCTCCAAAACACAGTGCAGCATGTTTTCTTATCCACAACTGTCTCTCATTTACTGACTACCCATAAACCTGCGTCATACACCTTTTTTTTTTCCTTTTGAGGCAGGCCAGAACCTTGTTCTGCTCAGTGGGCATATCTACTAGCTATAAATAGATCTGCAGGAGCGTTGTCTCCAGCAGAAAGGGGAAGTAATAATGAGAACAATATTAATGTTCACTCCATATTCTATCATGTATGAAGTTATTAGAGTTTGTAGCTATAAAGCCGGGTGTTACATACTCACCTGATTCAGGGCTTCTCGTGCTGGTAGACTGCTCTGTCTCTGGACGTCTCCTCCACCCACCTGTCTCACTCCAGCAGCAGAGGAGGAGCGGCCCAGCCGCCCCACTTCTGTAAGGAAACAAACATCACGCTGTGTGTCTGCTAATGAGAACAGTAAAATATAACTTTTCATTTTAGCTCACTGAGCTGTGAATACCCAACTACACCTGTGAGTGGAGACAGAGCATCGGTACATTGTGTACTCGCTATATTTTAAGCGATGGAACGATTATGAAGTCCCCCTATATTTAAGAACGGTATTTCATTTAGGTGGTAATCCTGATTGTCATCCCCCACTGTTCCACAATTTGATTTTATCTATACTTTACCATAATAGTATGAGAATAAAGTAAAAAAAAACAACAACTTAATACTGAAATGACTGAAACAATGTAATAGAGTGCAACAGAAATGCAGCTGTTCAGAACTGGTGGGAGTTACAGTCTCTGAATGCTTTAAACATTCCTCTATAATCACTGTAATGAAGGGTTTACCTGTGATATAAATTACACTTCATATATACTTAGCTCTAAAAACAAAAATTCTTTCAATTCTAAAAGGTTTTAAACAACAAGGTTTATCAAATATACACTGTAAACAGCATGTTTTGGGGCCAGTGCTGATGAATGCGTTTCTGTACATTGATGTGAGTCTGTTTGTGGAGAACTTCTTTTATTGGCTCTGCTGTTAGCTTTTTGTGACAGTCACAGGAGAGGGGAGGAGAGGCAGCAGTTTCAATGTCCAACTTTCAAACAAAAAAGTAACCTAAGCGGGTTACTTTCATCTTTTCCTAAAATCTGGAGGGTTCAAGCATCATTTGGTGTCTAACAAGGACAGGACACAACTAAGCTTGAATTTAAGATGACACCAGAACAGGGCTGGCAGAAGAATCCCCATGTAAACCCACTGCTATAGTTCCTTTCTAAATAGGATGTTGTGGTTTGAAGCTGACTAAAAGATTATGGCGTGTTTGCCTACCTCCGTTGCGACAGGCAGGAAAAGTCTGGCAGGGAAGAGGCAGCCCTACTCTGGGCAGAGCTCTGAATCCTGGACTGCTATCAACACCGGCCAAGGACTCGCTGTGACCGAGGGCCCTGCTGGTGGCACCACTGAAGTGGACTGGGATGCCTGAGTGGCCTCCTCGAGACCCCATCCCAAGGTCCTCCTTATCCATCCTTAACAAGGCATCGGCACTGCCGTTCCACGCCCGCCCTTCATCCTCTGAAAGGACAAGGAACAGAACGAACATTTAGAAAAAAAAAATAAAAATTTCAAATGTTTTTTTTTTTGTTTTTTTTTTTTAAAAACAGCTTTTGCGCTCTGTATTCAGAATGACCTCTGACTTACTCTCAGTCTCTCTGCTCCCATGGCTGAAGGACAATTTCCTCTGCATAGGCCAGTAAGACCCCTCATCTGCAGCTAAGCTGGCACTGCTGTCCCAGGGCATGAAGCCGACTTTCGAATGGAGGGACACAGACCCCCCATTGCTCTTGGATGCCCCCTCACCTATACCAGTAAGACTTGAGGGCTGTTGCAGAGAAGGAGTCTGAGAGCTGCCTCTCAAGCTCTCGTAAGCCGGCGGTCTCCGGAAGCCACCGGAGGGGTAGGTCCACAGCAGGGGGCTGTCCGAGGAGGGAGGCTTGTACGCAGGCAGGCCGTGAGGAGTGTGAGAGCGGAGATGTGGGCGAGAATGAGGACGCTGGGATGAGGATAACGGCGTAGGGGTTGAGCTGGTGCTGCTTAGAGGCGTTTGGCTGCTAGAGGTGGTAATGATATCCAACTGCAAGGAGTGTGGCCCTCCGTCCCTATCTCTATCCCGATCTCGATCCCTGTCTCTGTCTCTTTCCCTGTCCCTGTCTCTTTCCCTGTCTCTGTCTCTTTCCCTATCTCTGTCTCTTTCCCTGTCCCTGTCCCTATCCCTGTCCTTCTCCCTATCCCTGTCCTTGTCCTTCTCCTTGTCTCTGTCTCTCTCCCTGTCTCTGTCTCTACCCCTGTCCCTGTCCCTCTCTCTATCTCGGTCCCTGTCTCTATCCTTGTCCCTGTCTTTATCCCTCTCTCCTTTATCAGACTTCAAGAGGAAGCTCACAGACTTTCCTTCCTTTCCTGTACTTGAAGTTTGTGTCTGGACTGTGGCCTGGTTTGATGTCTGAGAGCTGTTCTTGAGCGGGGCGGGGGAGTCTCCTCTCTCTGGCTTGCGATAGTGATGGTAGTGTGAGGGGCGATGGTGAGGGTGGTGATGGTGATGGGAGAAGGGGGATGTGGACTTGGAGGAGGGAGGTAACGGTGTGGAGTGACTCCTAGCCCTCAGTCCAGGAGCAGGGCCTAGTTGGGACTCTCTGCTGTGTTTGTCCTGCTGCGATGAACTTCCTCCTGACGACTCCTTGGAGCCTACAGGAGTGTTAGAAGAGGCTGAGGAGGAGGTGCTAGCTTGAGCTGTCACACTCGATGTTTGCGTTCCCATTTTAGCAGAACCAGATGCCTTGTTTTGCACTCCGACACCGCTGGAGGCTGCCGCAGGCTGAGGGAAGGCAAGCAGCGGGGGCCGATGCTGCAGGAGGTTGGGAAAAGGAGCTGGGATCTTCGTGTTGGACTCGGGCTCAGACTTATTCCCTTGCAGCAGATAGGGAGTGGGAGCTCGTGGCGTGTGGGGACTGGTGGAGAGGACCTGGGGTATAGGAGTGGAGGATGCTGAGGAAGGCAGAGGAGATGAATGAGAGATGGATACTGTAGCTTTGGGTTTGGAGTAGGAAGGGGAAGAAGAAGAGGGGCGCGGCAGGGAGGAGGAACTGCTGGAGGAGGAGGAAGGGGTGACATGGAAGTGTTTAGAGGATTTCAGTTTCTCATGTTTCGGAGGGAGGTGTCTTTGGGACTCTCTGTCCTCCTGCAGCGGGTATTTCATCTCCTCATATATCGCCTCACTCTGGTCTGAGTCAGAGTCCGGTGTGGTGGCCACAGGGGTGACAGGGTGGGGCGTGGCCGTCTGGCTGTCTCTGGTGAACACTTGGCCCACCATTTCTATATAAACCGGCTCATCCTCTCCATCTCCTGTCTGAATCTGAGAGTCTGCTGCCTGGAAAGGCAGAGATGTGGCAGAGGGAGGCACTCGTGGAGGAAGAGGGTCGAAGGAAAGCTGGGTACTGGGACTTCTCTTGGGTTTTAAAGGAGGCACCTTCTTTGCTCCGATCTCTCCAGAGTCAGACTTCTTCATGGCTGTAGGAGGCAAAAAGACATGTCAAGAAAAGAACGTTTTCTCAGTCAAATATGCACTTAAACGCCAATTTCCTACCATTTTTCTTCTCTGAGTGTTTGGACTGTGAGTGAGAGGGTGGAGGCGGTGGTGGTGTCTCAGGAGGTCCTCTGCTGTCAGCAGACGAGGAGCTGAGGCGAGTACTGGGGTGGCGTTTGGGTTTAGCTGGGGGGCAGCGGCCGCCATGTTGGGATTGAGTGTCAGAGTAATCTCCATTCTCTAGGCTTGTATCCCCGGCACCGACAGCGTGGCAGGACTGCGAGCGCGGCGCCATGGCGGAGGCACAGGAGTGAGGGGACAGGTCCTGGGAGGCGGGCATCGTCATGAAACCCATCCGGAAATGCCGTCGAAAAGAAGCCAAATCTCTGACTTTGCCAACAGTAGCCGAGGGGTCGTTTTGGGAGGAGCTGCAATTTGGGAAAGAGGGAGAGAGGGTGTGGAGGGATTAGAAATATTGAAGCATGAGGAAATCAGACAGAAGTGAAAAACATTCATGTTCCACTCTTTATATTGACCTCCCTCTTTCCTCACTCTCTCTTTGGTCTTCAAACATCGTCTTTGCAATAAAGAAATGCCTGCAGGGCTTCTGCTGCAAAAGGAAAGCCCTGGAGGCTTCTCCATCTTTCGCATTCACATATCTTTCCATCTAAATTCCTCCGCATCGGCTTTCTCCTCAAACACATTCAATTAGGAAATCAATTCCCTTGTCAAAAGCAAAGTAGTGTGCACTGTGCTGCCGGAGTTCCCTTATTCTTTACATGTTTATATCCTCAACCCACATCTGTAGTCTGCTCTCAGGATCGCCAGAAGTATTTTATCCGTTACCATGGGAACAGTTGTGATTTTCTGGTATTTGATAGTTCGTCTTTGAAATCATCAATGACACGAGCTCCCACAACAATAAATAAAACTAACAAAGAGAAAAATCTGACAAAATATTGCAGTGTTTCTCCAAACTGGGGCAGGAGGAGCAGAACTGCATTCCGTCTGGATAATTGTGTTATATTTGCTGAGCATGTAAAATATATCATAAATCTCCTATTTAATTAACACTGCTGGATCCAGATGCTTATCGGTTATCTGTAATGGATAACGACTCATAATAGTCCATCTTTGCACAAAAGTCCGTGGTCTTATCTTATCAGAAAATATGTTTGACAATTAATTTTGAAAGGCTTAAGAAATAGACTGAAGATCCTCGAATAGGTAAAATAATCGTTGTTAGTTTATGGACATGAATTTCAGAAATGAGTCAGTGGTTCAACTTATTGACATAACACTGTGAGGTTTGACGCCCTGCTGAGTTCACCAAAGGCTTTAAAAATGGCTTCTGATAACACTCGACTTGCTTCTCTGCTTTAGAAACAGGTGCTGCAGCGGCTTGGCGTCTTCTTCGGGGGGGTTGTTATTGCGCTTCACCCCACAACAACATGAGATAAGTCCCTGGCCTTTAAGCCAACTCGGGCTGAGCAACATTTTCTTCCTCAACAACAGACTTGTCATTATAAACAGGGCTGCTGTGAAGCTACTGTACTGAGGAGAATAAAAAAAAAAAAAAAGAAAAGCCTGTGGTAGAAATACCATCAGGGGGTTTGTGTCCATCATATCCCAGAAAAAAAAAAAAGACAAAGACGCACATCTGGATATTCATGATCATATCTGAGTCCACATGTTTGAGAATGCAAGAAATTGTTTCTGAGTGTATAATTAAAAAGCTCAAATGTGCGATTATTCTGTGCATAAATGATTCATCATGGTACATAATGGCGACATATGACTATGGGTCATGCAGCGCTCTCTTTTAGATCAGTTGTGATCCCTGTGAGGCAGTGAAGCACAGAAGAAGACAATTGGAGCTTACAATTTGTATTCAACATTGCAAGCAGCAGAAGGAGCACTGGGGCTGCTCATCACAGAGAGCACAGAGGCGCCTATTTTCTTCCTCGTGTGCGAGGCAGTGTGGTTGTGTGTGTGTGCGCGCATGTGTTTATGTGTGCGGTATAGCAACAGAGTGCGCTTGCATCTGTACAAGTATGTTTGTACCCATGAATGCCTGTGGAGATGTACTAGTGACTCCTCACAATCGACATAGATACTACAGGGCCAAATTTAGCCCAGAACAGAAGCGGAGCTGCTCCTTCTCGCAGCTTGAAGTGTTCAGTTTTATTTCTTCTTAGGGCAGAAGCTCTCAACAACTTCAAAATAAGACCAGAGACTGAGCTGTTCAAAAGGTTTGGGGACTATCACCTCCTCGTACGCTTCTCTTTCTTGCTGCTTTACATCGAGCCTATAATCTATAGCAGCTACCACATAAAACATTCATTTGATATCATCGGTATTAGAAGAGAAAGGCTTTAAAATGAAATGCTGGCATTGGCCCAAAGAGACAGGCAGATAGCCTATCAGGATAAAAATGTACAGGTTAGTTTGAAAATGTTAAATATAATAAATCAGCTATATTTTTTACATGCAAGTTAAAGTAGTTTTCTTATGTTATCTAGTGAGAGTGTAAATTTAAGAAGCATTGTATTTTATATTTACACCTGCCAGTGATCCGTCACAATGATTGTAGGCATAACAACATATTTACTCCACTATAGGAGAGACCAGATGTTCTCTGTAATTAGGTGGAAAAAAACATGTGCATATATCGGCATCTGCATTAAAAAATTTTGAAAATGAAGGCGTATCAGCAACAATCCAACACTGTGCATTCTCAACTAAGCCTGTTTTCTTCGTTAGACTCAAATGAAAAGATTAACACTTTGCTCGTATTTCAAAATGAAGCTGCATTCAGCAGCCGGTTAGCTTAGCTTACCATAAAGACTGCAATCAAGGGGAAACTGTCAGTCTGGCTCTGACTGAAGGTAACAAAATCTGCCTTCCAGCACCTCGAAATCTCACAAAATATATATGTTTACTACAAGTCCAAAACTCAAATCAGGCATTTAGTTGTCTGCAAAAACTCAAGGTACCTCTAAGTCGAAGACAAATGCTAGAGAAATCTACATTGTTGTCTCTTCTGGTCAAACCATACTTCATCATCCACTGGTCCTCTGCAGCCTTCTGAACAGCACCTTTGGGACATTTATCTCTAACGAGACTCCTGAACACCACCTCTTCCTCAGACTGCAAGATATTCCCCAAAGCTCCAAAGACTGTGGTGATAAAGCTTTTGCTGAAGAAATCCAGTTTAGATAAATCCGCCCCCAGCAGCCACCGTCCTATTTCTAATTTACCTTTGTGGGCCAAAGTTTAAGAGTGGGTTATGTTTAAACAGCTGAATGAAATCTGAAAAAAAAAAACACATCATCTTTGAGAACATCTAATCTGGTTTGAGGGCAAATCAGAGCAGTTAAGTCATCCCTTGTAAAAGTTTCAGATGGGTTAAGGTTGATCGCTGACATTGAGTGTGTCGCCGTCCTCATTCTGTTGGACCTTCCTGACATATCTGACACAATACACGACACTTTAATTGATTGCCTTAAGTTATGGGTTGTCTCTAGCACGATTTTAAACAGATTCAATTCTTCTTCTGTAACCAAAAGAAAATTACATAAAAAGTAAAACTCGTGGTTTAACTCGAAGCGACGAAACTGAAACTTCCGATCGTATCGTTACATTATTTTTGTCCATCATGTGACACCGTGTTGTGGACGCCCCTAAAGCAACCAACACACTTCATACATTTTTCTTTAATGACTCAATCCTCACAATGAACAACCACATAGATAATCACTTCTTGAAGCTTCCACAACAAGACAGGACTTGTCTTTGTTTCCTTTACACTCAGGAGCTGTTTTAATCGTTGACCTCTGAGTTTCTTATTGACGTGACAAGTGCCAATTTTCTCTGATCATGAGGCTGAGCTGACGGCTACAATAAAGTGTATTCTCGGCAAAACTGCATGAGCTCAAAACCATTCAGAAAAAGTTTTAACAATCTGAACCAATAGAGGTTTTTTAACACAAATATCTGTCATCTGAGTGTCTGATGTTTGCATAAAAGGACTGTCAAAACTCTTACTGTCTCAGGATATAGTTGGCAATTCAATAGTGAATTAGGGTTTGATAGAATTTGATTTATTTAAGTTTTAGCTTGATTTTGCATATGATGTTGTATTTGAATTGTATTGTAAAACAAGAGAAAAACAGATTTTAGAAGTTGAGATTGTTGAAATGTGATTGAGTTTTAAAAAGAATAGAACAAAGCATTGAAGCTGCATTGATTCTTAGCATTAACATATGCAAAAAAAAACTGCTGTTTTTTAAAGCATACATACATTAGATATGATTTATTGACCAAAGTCAGCCCACTGATAGGTAAAGAGCATAACATTGATCACCTTGTCACAATGCAAAGTTCTGCTGGAAAACTTTGGGTCCTGGCATTCATGTGGATGTTACTTTGACATGTAGTACCCCCCTAAATCTGTTGAAGACCAAGCTAAAGCCACCCTACCCTCTGCCACATGGCACCAGCGTTCCCCCGGCAGGACAATGTGCCCTACCACACCACAGAAACTACTGAGGATGGGCTCAAAGAACACGACCAAGAGACCCAGATTCCAGTCTGACTGAGTTACCACAGGATCCACCAGAATAAGCCTGATCAATGGAGGCCCCACCTATCTACCCACAAGACCTAAAGGAACGACATCCCAGTGCCAGACACCACAGGAACCCCCAAGAGCTCCTGTTTCCTTTGCCTGACAAGTCAGAGCTGTTTCAGTGGCATGACGTGTTTTAAAGTCGTGGCTGAGCGGTGAACATGTATCAATGTATTCATTTGTCTTTTATCCGTCCCCATTTGCAGAGTTGTCTAGTTCAATATCGCGTACTGAACTCCTTTAAATGGATTTGGAGGACTTCTCATATCTGCACACACACACCGGAGGAGCCAGGGTAGCCCCCTGCCAGCCCGGTCATACTTGTATCATAATTCTGCGCATAATTCTGTGCAGGAATTAATAAAACCTCAGCTGAGAGCAAGGTTTTCTTCCACCAGTCGTCACTACTGGGAATAGTCTGTCTGCCTGTAATAGTGCCATAAGAAACAGTCTCTATTTTTAAAACTCATGTTGAAACTCACCTATTTACCATTCTGCATCTCCACAGCCGTCTCTGCTTTATAAATGTGATTTCTCTCCTGAGGGCCTCAAGATCTCAAACTGTCTACCGGCGCCCTTCACTCCCCCCCCGAGCCCCCCACTCCCACCAGCTCTGCAGTTGTTGCCGTTGTCCTGCCTGGAGTCCATTTGGTGGCCGCTCCTTTGTCCCTGTGCGGTTTTATCCCTGACCCTACCCTGTTCGTAATCATCACCGGTCATGTTCTGCTTCCCACCTCTGCTGCTCTGGCCCCGCTCGGCTCTGCTTTCATCAGTCATCGTGTCCCGCTGTCCTACTTGCTGCCCTACACCTCCACTGGCTTGATGCTGCCATGACGTTGATCTCTGCTGCCAACACGTGGGCCTCCAATTACCGCTGTGAGTCAGAACGCACTGGACGGCTCTTCTAAACAAACCGAACTGTTGTCTTTGATGCTCTGCCTCTCCACTGCGGCATAAATAGCCCCGTACACAGTGAGGAATTTGGTGAATTATAGGTGACTCACACTTGAACAGTACATCTCTCCTCTGTCCCCAAAACACAGGCTCAGATACACAAGCTCACTGCGATGCACACACAGTTCAAGACAACACCGTCATACCCCGACTGTCATGCGAGCGTAATGACGTTATGCTGTTGACACCTTTTCGTAGAATGCTTGAATGAACGTGTGCGTTGTGATAGTTGGGTCGTCCTAAAATCAAAAACGTAGTAGTCTATATTGGACCCTAAAATAATAATAAAAAAAAAAATGTTTACACAAGACTAAATTATCATTCTATTTATCATTATTATTAATATTATTTAAAAGACCAGCACTTAGCCTGTGTTGTGATTTATTATGATTACTTTTCACTTCTGCTGGAAGGCGTCCAAAAATAGGAGCTGGACTTGATACATCAGCAGCTAACTGTGTCGTAACAGAGAAATTAGAGCCCTGAACACATACTGCGCCGCATTTACCAACAACTCTTCAATCCTACCGAGACACTGCTGGCAGGCAGCGGCGGAAGAAGTATTTGGTTTAAGAAAAAGTACCAATACAACAATCTAAAAATACTCCATTACAAAAGAGGATTAGTATAGAAGTATAGGAGAACCCTGAGCTGGAGCTGCAAGGCCTGCAGCTCTTACTGTTACTACATATTTCATGAAAACTCATTACAGGTAAGGTTTTCTGATTCACTACTTCTCTGCTGGGAAACTGTGCAGAATTTTAAAGAAGTGCATGTGCGAAATATACTATTTAACCTTTATACCGTCTCAGTCTTCATCAATATAACAAGGCAACCTTCAATTTTAATTTCCTTTTCCTTCATAGAAGTACCATTGAAGGAGTGAACGTGCCAGATTTGTATATGTTGCTGTGAATAAAATAAGTGTTCTCATTATGCCCATAGAATGTAGCATAAAGACAAAATAATTACATGTGCATTGAGGAAATTAAGGCAACTCAATTTTCCAATTTCCTTTTCAGTGGTTGCGGGTAATTTCTGCCCTCTGACATTTTGGCTGATGTTATATTAATTTATCTCATCTACAGAACATATTAACTTCATTATGAACTGTTGCTATGCACATTTGCATGAGGCTTCTCAGGCGAACCCCTCTGACTTTATGAACTGTGCGTGGAATTAAGATTTGGAAATTAAATGCGCTAACTGGATAAGAGGTTTATATTCCCTCTGAAGTGAACCCTATTGTAATCCCATATATGCAGAGCTCCTGCGAGCTGATCCACTCACCTCTTTTTACTTCCCTCTTGGTCTCTCTGCCTCCAGTCCAAACGGCTCTTACGATACAGCAGGTTCATGTCGCTGCGGGGTCGCTCCTCCTCGCAGCCTATCACAGCGCAGTGTAGCCGCTTGCTTCGCCTCTCTATGTCACGCAGGAAATGCTCGACTGCCACATCCTGGGCAGAGCCAGAGCTCATGGTATAGAAGAAGACTCAGGAGAACGGGACGTATGTCGCAGGCAGTCCTCCTCTGGAAAAAAAGAAACAAGGGCAATGTTTGAGCACATTAATCATTAAACAATGTGTTTAACAGATTCCCAGTCTGCTTGCAGCTGACAGGATTGACAGTGATTACTTTGTGATGTGGCGACGCATCATGAAACCCAAATAATCAAACCTGATTCACTGGCAAAACTTTAAGGGGGTCACAGCGAACAATCCTGGTCATTACTCCAACTGGCAGCCGCCACAGTAAAGACACAATGATGCATGATGATGGAGGTTGCAGTGTTGTTTACCCCAACCTCTCGTTTATCACATGAAAACTATTTATACTTTCATTATCCAGTTATGAATATTTGAGTAAGCATGGTAACTCAGCTGCAGAGCATCTTTGGCTGCAGGCCCTAGGATGGCCTATCTAAGCCTGTCTGCTAGCCAGACAGTAATGTGGTTTGTCATATGTAGCGCATGCACAGCTTCCTACTCACGCTCACCCCATGAGAAGTCAGGCTTGTTGTGGGGCAGATATCTGAGAGTCCAACAGTGTTTTCATGTTGGAGAATGTGAGTGTGCAACACAATTGGCTAAGAAAAGCGCAGCTGTCAGCTGATGCATGATGCTAGTGTTTTTCCATCATGAATAGAAACAGAGTTTGAATGTGTTTTAACCGTGGACACTGAAGTATTACCACTGGTGCTTCCGGCATCAGTTTGTTGAGTTGAACAGCGCTGCCAGTGCACACTTTCACTTCATGTGAAATGCACTAAGCGAAGCCGTTTGCAACACTGTTGGTTAATCATTTTGAATGGTATATATCGCTGGGTCTCTCTTACAAAGCAGATAATATAAAAAAGTAGAACACTGCAGAACAAATTATGTTCTCCATGCGATACCTTTTAAAAACACAGTTGTGCATTAAAAATATGTTACAATGAAACTGCATGCGAAACCACTTTAATGAGATCTGAATTATGCTTTTATGCTCCTCAGATAAAAAGGGCATAAAAAATACATGACATTTGCATTTTCCAGCCGTGTAATAGCTCTCCTAATTCTGTAGATATTCAGGACAACTGAAGCCACATCTACCACCAACTGCGCAGCATCTTTACTGTAAGTACATTATCTCAAACATATTCTACTGAAGACAAAAAATACACAGCGGGAGCAGCAGGCACGGTCACCTGTGCCAGGCGGCATGTTGATCTGTGTAGCTGTGTGTGATTCTTTTGTCACGGCCCAGTGTGTCATCCAGTGTGTCAGCGTGGCTACTGCTATTCTTGTATCCCACAGCCCTGACCACAACCTCGACCACTACTGCTGCCATGCTTGCTGACTCAATGTTAATTAGGTTAGGGAGCTGCGACTGTAGGTTGGGCTTCTGTTAAATGGAGCTTTGATTTTGGCTTCTAGGATCTGGCAGCTGAGCAGGCAGCCCCGCAATTGTCGCATTACATGCTGTGGGTTGGTGTACAATTAGCCAAGCTAAGAGAACCAGGAGACCAACATCTTACATCTATGGGCAGGTTGGTCTCATCAAACTGGGCCACAAACATAATTTTTACAGACCACACAAAACGCGCAGTGCACTCATATAATGTGGCTGTGATCAATCCCGAGAGCCACTTTAAAACCCAAATAAATTCAGAGCGTTTAGCAAGTTGTTTCAGGAGCATCTGTAGGGTCAGGAGTCGCTTGAATTCCTCATTAGAACCAGGAGGCAGATGGAGCCATGATTCATGTAACTCGATCTGCATGCAACGCTGCAGACTACTCATTCATGCACATAAGCAAACACATCACACACACATACTCAAAGCCCCCCATACACGCGAATCACACACATACACACACAGGGTGTGAGGCGGTAATTGCAAACGCTCGGCAGCTGATTTGAGTGCGGCTTACTGATGACAGGAATTTATAAGAGAAAACGTTATCTGAAGAAAATCTGGAAGTATAAAACAGGCGGAGTACGATCTCTGAGTGTAAGAAAGAGCGAAGTTATGAGCAAAACATTGTGCAGTCAAAGAAGTACCTTTCACTGTACATTTAAGGGAATTTCACACCTAAAATCTTTTCCTCCATCTTCTCTTCTGAATTTAACACTTCTGGAAGGCTTTGTGCTGCAGCCCTCTGCCCTCCAGCCTTCACCTCAGCAAGTGGTCCAGTAGTGTTGCTGCACCTCGCTGTGAGTGAGGCAGTAACACTGCAGAGTGGAGGGACACATCATAACACTGGCTGGCCTTTGACAAAAAGGCAACATTTCTACAAAACACATTCAAAATATACATTTTGTTACTGTTGAGTATAATATCCCTGTGTGTTTTGCAGACATCTACGAAAATCTAATTTGAAATATTGTTACAAATGCCAGCCGAAGTCCTTTTTTTGTTTTAATGGTGGAAGACAAAAAACATTCGTGACATGTGTTTGTCTTTGCAAAAAAAAATGAATAAAAGCAGTCAGAATAAATAGACAGCCAGTACAAAACATCTTGTACTATCGTGTTCCTTCTTCTGCACATCCAGTTCTTGGACGAGCGTGCTCTTATATGTAGTAAAATGTTCAGGTTTGCGCCTACTCAAGCTTGAATTAATTAGCAAATTACTATAATCAAACTGTAACTCCGTATACAGCAGCGAGTAAGTAAGGAGAAAAGAAATCGGATTTGTACATGAGCAGATGCTTATAGCTCACTTCATCAGTGATGTAGTTTGTCTGTTTTGAAAATACAATACACATATGTTGAGTTTGTTGGGTTTCTCCTGAGCACCACTGTACAGTATTTTGACCCCACAGTCACAGCACTGGAGTCAGTCACAGCGCTGCAGCTCAGCCAGAGAAACAAACAGAGAGGAAGCGGTGCACGAGGACGGAGCGAACTGTTCAGGAGAAGAATGAGCAGCTTGAAACGCACACAGCCAGAGAGGAGGAGAGACCGAGGCAGCGGGAAGGAGACGGGAGGGGGCTCGGTGAAAAATGGGGGAAGCCAATAAATGGAGAGTCACTGAGAGATCAAGCCGGGAAGAAGATAAATATGATTAGGCGGAAAACGTACTGCAGACAGACTGATGGAGGGGAATATCAAAACAGGGAATATCAGAGTGGAGGGAACAAGCAAATGGAGGCAAGTGTAAAGGAAGAGAGGATAGAAAAACAGTGAAAGGCAGCCAGACTACAAGAATGGGGGAGGGAGGTGAAATCAAGCCTCTCACACTAGTCACTGTGTGTGGTCTCCTAGCAACACTGTCAGCATGCATCTCTTCCTTAGCCACTGAATATGCACAAAGCAGGACGTCAGCCTCATCATATGTGATGATCCCTGGGTTAAACTTCACTGCAGCTTCATTTGCACCTGGCCCTCCTGTATCAATATCTCGTGTGTATCATAAATGGCGACAGCATCTGTATCCATCGGCAACCAGGCAGCCCTCCTGCTAACGTTCACTGAGCAGCAAAGTCTTTAGACGTTACATCGGCTGCTACTTAGAAAATCTGACTAACACATTCACGCATGACATTTTGATTAAATGTGTTTCTCAGGGAGATTTTTTTTTTTCTCAGCTGAATCCCTGTTTTCAATTCACCTGCAAGAAATAAGAACGCCAGTTATTAAACCTGAAACTCAGGTGTAGGTGTTTGATGTAGAGTAGCACTAAAGGGGAAAAAAATATCAGCAGCTTAAGCTTGGAGAATATCTCCATCACCTGCTGATGTTAGGAATTAAATAATAAAAACGGCAACCACGTGAAATCACACTTTCCTTCGTTCTTCTCACGAATGCTCATGTGTTTCTGGTTAAACACCAACTTTCACGTGTGCTGGATGGTCTGGACAAAACCAGATTAAGAGTACATGATTCATTTGGGTAAAATGGCTTCTTTCAGCCCAAACCATGTCAGTTGTCGGTATGAGACATCTTTGTGGCTCTGATTTGATTTAACTCATGAGAAATGAACCTAATCTGGGACCGTCTGAATAAACTGCTCACTGCAGGCACAGAAATGTGTATTTGGGAGTTTTTTTTAGCTTCTGAATATGAACAGCCAAGACTGAAAAAAAAAAAAATGTAACTGCATCCGCTTAAAAGAACCGAGAAACCCCTTATTTCATTTGGTCTACTCGTAGCAGGAGTGGTGACTCTTGTGTTGCTATGGCAAGTCGGTACTGTTCAGCGCATCATTAAGAGCAAACAGTCCCCTGACATTTCCGTATAATCTTTATTCTCCTTTATTAAACATACCTCAAGAGCACAGGCTTGTGTAACGTAAGATGTAAATGATGATCAGTACTGACTACTGTGCTCCACAGAGGACGCATTCCTTCATCTGCTGACCTTGATGGTGCCATTTTGCAAGTCAACGTTTGGTTGGAATCGACTTATTTACAACCAAATGAACTAGCGATTTGTTGCAAACCTATTAAAGGCGCGACGTGAGTAGATTTTGTGACTATGGGTCATTAAAGTATGGTGATCCCAAAGATATCTGTCCATTGATATCATTATTATATACAGAACTTAAAGGCTAGCATGTGTTAATAATAAGTAATGAGCTGCATTCCAATAGAGGGAAACTACAGGATATAGGAAGATTACACTTCTGAATTACATCTTTAGTGCAATATTTATACATTTCACCGAGAGTTGGATGAGAAGATCAATAGCAGCGTGATAAATTTTTCATGTCATTTTAAAGCTACAGCAAGCAGCCAGTTAGCTTATGGCAGCGTAAAGTTTGAGAACTGGGAAAGAGCTCGCCTAGTTATCTCCACAGGTAACAGAATGTGTCTGCCAGCATCTCTGAGGATCACCAATTAATATGTTATATCCCATTTATTTAATTAGCAAGTTTAGAGGTGCTGGAAGGATGAATTAGCCATAAGTGTCACGACAGCTATGCCACACAAGAAACCGTCGTACTATTCCAATTTACATTTTACTGAATTCATTATTTCAGCTGAGCAAAATCAAGATAAGATGCCGCGTGACAAAGTGACGATGACTAGTTAATTTTCCGAAAGTTA